ATAATATATAATTATATATGTAATCGAATGCGATTATATATATATTTATAACTATACATATATTCACGACATATAAATCGCACATTCCCATAACATGTTGGTTTTGTAAAACTTACAGCTATATCTTCTTGTCTCACACAACGCAAACATAATTATCAGAATGCAGAGAGAGGAAGCTGAACACGCTTTCGTCTTTCCGCATTGTACATCTAATGTTGAAGTGAAACAATCCCTTTCTCTCATACACACTAGTCGACCTATCGAATTATCGAAAGAGAGAATCGTCGACGACACTCACATTCCTTTATTTTTTTTTCATTTATGAAAAAAGAAAGTCGAAGAATACAAATATCGTTACGCTTCACAGCTAACCACAGCATTCGGCAAATATGTTTCACTCGTTTAAAAATTATTTATATCACAATAAAACGCCGGCGCATCCTTCCGTCTCATTTCATATTATCCAACTTGCGCATACCTCTTTCTATAGATCACTCCCTTTCCAGCGTTCGTCGGTATCAAGGATGCGTCTAGAGGCTCTGGCAGGTTTTGGCCTAGATCCGAGGTTTCCGGATGGTTGCGGAGACGTAAGTTCGGGATTTGCGTTCCGGGTCGCTGGTCCCTTAACGAACGCGGCCTGCCGACGCAAATCCTCGATCACAGCGCTTGTACTAGGCAAGAATCAAGGGATTCTCGACACAGTCTGAATGTAAAATTACGGTAGTTGACTCTTTGACATCAAACTCGTCTCGTCTGTCAGCGCACGTGCATCTCGTGGCTTAGCGTGCACTCTGTAGAATTTCGTGCCACGTGGGACGTGGTACCGATTTTCATGCTAGAAAGAGAATGAGATTATATTTCTTTTTGCTGTAATGAATGATATATTATTTAATTAGAATACAATTTTACATATATCTACAATAATTAATCAACAAGTCTTACCTTTCTCGCATGACAATATTCCTTATCGATCACTTCAGCTAGAACGCACTTCCGAGAAGCATTCGGATTCATTCCTTCCACTGCACCTACGCAGTCCGAATGAAGGAAATAAAAAGTCGAAGATTCCTGATACACCGCATAATTGCTATGTACAGCGTCCCAGACTACGAGTACCACATCACCTGGATTACAACTAGTGACGGTCACAATTCCTTGTTGCACCATCTTTGCCACTTTTTCTGCGACCTTCTTATGTATGTATGAGGGAAGGGAGGGATGGAAGCACATTGATTTGGAAGATGATCGTCGACTCGTCGGTTCTGGACTCGTGGCCGCGTCCCGACTTGAATTAGAGTCCGAAACTACTGCGACCGACGCATTCATGTCTTTGTCGCGATTTTCCGGCATCGGATCAATACCAAATGTCCTCTTGGTACGTTCTTTCAGCAACTCAACCTCCAAACGAATTTTATCCGTCATTAATGCCTCTAATTTTGCTTCGGCCGCTATTTTACTGGCGCGTATCGAATTTAGCTCGCAAGACAGCCTCTTGTTGTCATTTTCGAGAGATTCAAGTCGCCTCGATAGTCGAGCCAGATCATCATCGTCAGCTTCTAATCGTACTTTCTTCGATTCTGAGACCTCAACCTCATACTTTTCGGATTCCTTGAAAATGTCCTCTAGAATTTGACCAGCATCCAATCGATCGTAGCTCAAGTCTTTGCATACTCCAGCTTCTAGAGGATACACGATATCATCGTTTTGTTCCAAAACCGTTCGCATTGCTTTGTCTGCGATTTCTTTGTTCTCCAAACATGCCTTATCCGCTTCAAGATTTTTCATCTAAGTATACAAAAAATAAAACAGATAAAATATATGATAATCGATCAAAAATATACACAGAGTGATCTTTCTTTAGATCATCACTATCGGATTAAGTGTATATGTGTGTATGAATGTGATATGTGATACCATACCTTCTCCATCAAAGTTTGCTGTATCTCCGATTTCAGTTCAAAATCTCCAAGTAATCGATCTATCGTATGCTTATAATGTTTGCCCTGTTCAATCAGCGCGGCCGTTCTCATTCTGTACATTTCTATTTCCCTATTTTTCTCTTCGACTACTTCCTTCGCCAATCTTAATTCGTTGTCCAATTTTGCCATGCAATCGGCCCTTTCCTTTATGATTGCAGTACGGACGGCCATAGCATTCTCAATCTTCATGTCTTCTCTTGCTTGTGCCAAAATTGCTTCATGATTTACAAGCTCAATAACATCTGTTCGCTGCAAGAAATAAAATTAACATTTTTATATTGTCTCGTTACATTTTTAATAATCGGAATAAACAAATTACTTACTTCGATCTTCTCTAAACTAGAATCGCTAGGACTCCTTTCCATAGTAGAAGCGGTCATAAGTTTGAAGCGGCTCCGAATGGTCTCTAATTCCGTTTTATATTCCATTTGCAATTTATCAGTTGCCTCTTTCACCATTCTCTCCTGATCGTTGCGCGCAGTGACCAGATTCTCCTCTAATTCTTGAATTCGCTTCTGACATTGTGTCAATGAATTCGTTAAAGAAGTGATCTCGAGAAATCTTTCGTCATTCAATTTTTTCACGGCCTCTTCCTTGTCTATGCGCGCTTGCTCTAGTACCCTCGAATAGTCCTCGAGTTGCTGATGTAAACGATCATGTAAGTTCCTCCTCTCGATTTGCTCGTCTTCCAATTTTTGACGCATCGTAGCCACCAGTCGCTCGTGTTCCGCCAATTCAGTTTCCTTTTCAAGAAGACTACGCTTAAGCGTGCAAATCTCTTCCTCACGACTCTGCATTAGCTTCTTAACATCCGCGATCTCGTACTCGTGCTCGATTGTCATTTCCTGTTCACGCTCTTGAAGACGTCGATCATACTCTCGCGAGTGCAAGGACAATGCCACTCGAACGCGCTCCGTCATCTCGACGATGCCATTCTTGTCCTCGTTAGATTGATTTCGCAGAATCGCCAATTCATTCCGCACGGAACTGAGCTCCTCGCATACAACCGTTTTCATGGTCTTCAGGATAGAACGCAACCTTTCCACTTCCTCACGCGTATTACCGAGATTCTCCTGAAATGATGAGCACCAGAAATATTTCGATGAGTTATTTAAAAATCAGATTTTGTGCAACGGATTGTCCTCGACTCTGAGTAAAGTAGTCAAGGAGAATTCGTCAAGGAGATTAGTCAAGGGAAACTCCAATCTCTTTGTTAATTTTAAATCACAAATGCGTGTCCAATTTGCGCGGTACGCAAAATTGCAATCATTTCAATTTAGAAACAAATGTCTTTGTAAAAGCAATTGTGTGGATGAGTTCAATGGGTTCTGAAGGGATGTCTGACTCGAGGGATCGGGAAACGAGTGCGACGCCAGCTATCCTGTAAAAAATCAAGATGCACGCATATATATGTATACACACGCGCGCGTCTATCATTGAGTGCCATAGTACTTGTGCAAACAGAAATCAGGGAGCACAAGAGATTCAGTTCAATTAGATCGAACGTTACGGAACACAAGTCAAACAGTAATACATACCCACGTCACGAGGTCTAATTAGCATATAGTCAATTCTAATCACTAACGAATATAAAGATATAATAACGAAAGCACCTAGAAATCATAAAGAAGAAAATTGAATCAACTACTAGTATGTTTAACAAAGTACCGAGCAATATTTTAAAGATATCTTGATGCGGAGAGGAAATAGTGAGAGAGGAAAATATAAAGAAAGGTGAGAAGAAGAGAAAGAGAAAGTTGTACATTTTATAACATACTAATTTTAGAAAACGATGAATAATGATAAAGGCAGTACTTTACGAAACGTTTTACGGCTACGACTACAATAGTTGTTTGTTAGCGAGCTGTAAGTCGTCCAATACCTGAAGGAGGGACACGATAGCCTGATGCTGGCCGTCGGCGGGATGTTCGCTGAGGCTGCTCGGCAGAGATTCATCCATATAAAATTCCGTACCCATGAAGTCGGTAGCACCTACACCGACGGAGGGACTGCTACCTCCGCTACCGGATAGCGGATGCTGATGTTGCTGATGCTGGCCGTCGCACATGACGGAGGACCGCAAGGAAGGAGGATTCGGACTCAGGGAATGTTGCTCCTCGAGCGGTATAGCGTCACGATAATTCGACAGACCGTTCACGCCTCTGCGAAGCAAACAACTGGAAGAATCGGCGGCGCCGTTCTCCACGCACTCGGTCAGCGGACTTAGCTGCACCGGACGCTCGCTCGTGGCGGATAGACTGGGAAATTGGAAAGAGCCGGGTTCGCTTGATGTGGTCGAACGTGTTGTTAAATCCGCGACTTTCGAGTTTAACGGGGAGACGTTAGTTGAGGTCGAGGAAGCGGGGGACACGCTTCGAGAGGCACCAACCTCCAATTGCTTCTGCCGTTTCTGTTTCGCCCCGTCGAACACGCCAGGCTTGGTTACTTCCACACCGGCTTGACCAATTTTCTCGAACTCCTCCGTATCAGTTTCAGATTCAAAATCGCCCCTGAAAATCGATACGGCACACGTGATGTATTATTCATCTGTATATAAGTGACAATATAACTTAATTATTAAGACTCACCTATCAGATAACAATGGCGCTCTAGTGCGTTCTTGTTCCTTTGCGGGAATATCAGTGCTCACCGATGTGGTGTCTTTCTCCTTGGTACCATCGGTACTACCTTCGGTGAAGCTTTTCGATAAGAAGAATTGCGTTATGCTGCTCAAATCCGGCGTAGAAATTGTAAGCGCCAAATCCGGAAGCTGCGATCGCAATGACTCCATGTCGTCCGCGGTCAGCTATAGTTTTAAATATTAAGAATAAATTATTCGTATATGTATACTTTAATAATTAACGTCTAATCGCAGATCTTACCTTAGGTAACCCGTTGTCAAAAACGGAAGGTGCTTGCGTTGCAAAAGGCGGTGGTGTGTCCTCCAGACCTGGGAAGAGAGTGTTCAAGAAGTGGCCGTCAAATTTGCTCTGAAACTCTCGCCTACGTGCCAACTCTTCGCTGTGAACAGTCAACAGCTGGCACGCCAGATTGCTTGCCCATACGAGGAAAGCTTGCGAGAAGGTGCGCCTTCTAACAACCTCAACCACCGCGCTTATATACATCTGCGGAGCTAAGTGGATCTGTTGGAGCACCTCCAGATGCCGTCGCAACCGCTTCAGGCTCTCGTGATATATGATTAACTTGTTGCCCACTTCCACCATCTTATTCTCCACGTACATGATCCACTTCAAGCGATGATAGATATTCACCGACAACTCTTCCTTCGCCTTGGTGCATCTGCGGCGGATGTCGCGCAGCTGATTGTGATTTTGCAACATGACGAGCAATTGCCGCCGGTGAGAATTGCAAAGATCTGGCAGAACGCTCGCATCGCCTAAATTGCTCGCGCGATTCTGATTCTGCAGGAAACCTTGAGCAAGCTCACCTTGTTCGTGAACAAGTCTCTTGGTCTGCACCATCAGCTGTTCCAGGGCAAATAGCCTCTCGCCTAGGCCCTTAATCTCCTTCATATCCTGCTTATTAGCATTATCGACAGCCCCGTTCACTTCTGCCTTCAAGGCCTGCATCAATCGTTCATCGAACTGCTCCAGGCCACGCGAGCATTGCTCTGCCACTTGCTCTAGGCTGCTTTGATTGTCTTTCGCAGAGATCCATCGTAACAGACTTAGTACTTCCCCACTGTCCTCCGATGCAGTTTCGGAAGTTTGACTCGGTTGATCATCCGGACTCAACAAGCCCTCGGCTTGAGCTCTCAAGGCCGGTAAAATTGGAATTTTTGCAAGAGTGCCGAGATCAGCGCTGAAGCTGCAATAAAATTTTGCATTCGTTTTTTTGAAACGTAACTTCGCTATTCAATAAAACAAAAAACATAAATTTAAATGTTACTCTACTTCTGATTATTATTAATCAAAAAAATTCAATTTACTACACATTAGAATGTTACAGACATTAAGTAGTTACTTATATTTGGCGAACAATAAACTTTGATGCGCATATTTTGGGATAAAATTAATACTAATTTAATTACTGATTAGCAATATAACCAATGATAATTGAAGCAGCTACGATTAAACATGGTAATCAAAAGCTATGATAATTAAAACGTGACTTCAATGGTAATTATATTCCATTGTAATTAAAGTAATTATTGAGAGCAGCATTACGCTATACGTTTATGGTAGCTGCTACTCATAATTCATTACAAAAAATTTGCTTAATATCCCGTAATCATGTCCTAAGCCCATTAATCTATACTCTCACTGTTATTCAATCGAACTTTGATCAGCTTGATAAAATCTACGAAAGAAAAAACCAGTCCCTAGCGCATTAATCGTAACGTTCAATGCATCTTGTCAATTAAATTGTCGCACTCACAAATTATTGACTACTTTTGCAAGTATTATTGACTTTATGCAAGTAATGCAAATAAAGGCGAAATATTTTATAATTCTTCCAAGCTCTCACTTTATTTTTATTAAATTTCGTCATCATAAATCTTCACAAAAACGAATTCCGATAAATTCATTTGATATCATTTCGATATCAAAAGAATATTGAAAACAAGAATAAAATTCCACGATATTTACACATCAATGAAATGGAACTGATATTTACACGTCAATAGAACTGGGAAAATGAAATGGAACTGAGGGAAACGAAAAAAAGCATCATACTTATCAAGGAGCTTCATGTGCTGCTGTCTCTCGGCGAGGTACAGGACGAAGGCTTGCTGGAACTGCTCGGCTCGTGATTGAAACATATGCGTGATGTCCTCGAGATTGGCGACTACTGCGGCCCAGCCTTGTTGCTGGAGATGCTGATCGTGGACCAGCCTCTCGCAGATCCTCGTCTGCTCACGTGCCAGGCCGCAACACTGCTGGGCCAAATGAGCACGTGCGCAAAGGGTCTGGTAAGTGGCTGGCATCGCCAGTGAGGCATCGATCTGTGTCTGCAGGTCGACATCTGATAAAACAAAAATCAATATCAAAATAAATACTTGCTTCTCGCGTAATTTTGCTCTAGAATATAATATTTTGCCAAATTACAGGTAATACGAGAATTACATAATAAACGGCTCTGAGCCTGTATTCTGTAACTTCTAAATGATACCTGTCGTAAAAAGTTACAGAACACGTGCACTGAACTGTTTTTCTAATAATGATAAACCTAGCAATGGTAAAAAAAACCGTATATTACAACATTGTATTCCTTTCGAAAATTGTACGTCACGTAAATTACAATATGACACCGAGAAAAAAGCACAGAACAACAATATCTCTCTCTCTCTAGGAATGTGGATTAGAGAAAGTTACGTTTATCCCGTGTGCAACCTCAATTCTAACTTTAATAAAATAGTTCCTGTATCACCTTTAAGTGCTTGGACGAGACTCGATGTACCTATGATCATTTTGTACCTATCAGACATCTAAAAGCGCGTACTTGGCAACTCGTGACTAAATCTGAGAATTTAATGAGATTCTATCTAGTTAGTGAGACAGACACAAATAAAACATAAATGCTTTTCATCACAAACAGCTATGAATTTGAAACTTGAAGTTGTTGTCGATCATATTACGAGCGTAACAAAGGCAACTAGGAAATGTACTCCGTTTACATAAGGATAATGTTAACACGCGAATGTGTTAAAGACAAGTAGCATCAGACAAAAACTATGCATCGGATCGAACCAAGTGGCAGGTGTATAATTGATCGGCGAGGCTCGCCAGAGAGCGTAATCTTGGCACGCGATGAAAATTCAAGGTCGCCACGACACATATCGCTTCAGCAACCTTACGTCACACTCTAGATTCGAGAGGCGAATTGTGTTTCACGTCCTTAATTAATTAATTCACGTGTGCGTGAAATCGCGGAAGAAAAAGGAAGGCCACTCGGATCGACGGGGAGAAGATGAGAAGTAATAGACTCGAGTAAACGGAACGGTAAGGGAATAAATGACACAAAGGAAAGGAGGTATGACGTGGCATACATATCGTTGCATAAATTTACAGACCGATATTTTTACATATTCTATCACGCCTATTTTAGGATATTTTACATATCCTATCACGCCTGTTTCCACAATGATAATGCATGTGCGACTCGATCTTTATAAACCACACGCTGTCCAAGTGACCTTACTGATTTGCAAGTGCAAAATGTATCATCATTATGCGTGATCGAACAATCGGTCCGAGATGCCGCAATACGCATCTTATTCGAAAGTCAAATAAGTCGTCGGCAGATAATCGCAAAGAAGGAAGAAGTGTTACGGATGTAATCATTACGTTGCTTATCGCGACGCTGATGCTCCACTTACAAAGCACGCTCTACAGATGCATATATTATATACACATGAATTAAGAAACTGTGCAAATTTTTTATCGAAACTGTAAATCTGAATTTACGACAACCTTTGGCAGAAATAATTATTTCTTACACATGTATCCATTTTTATCTTCTCTTTGCATTACGTGTTTTCACGGTTTGTGCAGAAAGATTAGAAAAAATGCATAACACGCTCTTTGATCTCGTATCACGAAGCAGAAAGTCTCCTTATGATTTTACTCTGTCCGCTTGTATCATTCATACCGAGAATCTAGACAGCATGAATCCTTTTTTTTATTGCGAGACGCGTCAACCATTATATGTACGGAGAATAGACAAAATAATACAAACACCTATATAGAAAATTGGACGGCTCTCTGAAGTATTAGATACACCTTGTTTTATATTGTACAATTATGGACTTGTTACAATTGACTGTTGAGAACACTTAATTATCAATAATTTATACGGGCATTGACGATTATTCTACCGTTCTGTCGAATCATGAATTCATTTAATAACATCTTACAGAAAATTGCGAGCTATTTTATCATGTAAGAAATGAAAATTTACATAATTAGGTTTTTATCGTTTTTGCCATTATAATAATAATATCGGAATGTACCACATTTTTTAATTTAATTATTAGATAAACGTTGAAAATAATCTCATAAAGGTTGAAACATATGTTCTCGTTTTGTTAGTTTGTATCTAATTATTAGTTACAATACAATAGCATTAAATATATCCAGCTTGACTCTTATTTTGTGTAATTTATTGTAATTTTATTTATTTTATTATAAATAAGAGATCTATCATCTTTTTTTACTTTTAATATACGTTCTATTCTTATTAGAATAGAGTCATACAATGCTTGAACAGTTATCAATGGAATGTTATACTACACTTTTAATAGAACAACATTAATAGGGTTGGATGTTGACCGTCATTTCCTTTATTTGCTTTTAATACACATTCTATTCTTGTTGAAATAGTCGCACAATGCTTGAACGGTTATTAATGGAATAACAAATATAAATGAAATAAGATTCCTCAGTATTCAACAAATTAAAGAACAAATATATGTAGGGAAGTATAGAATTGACGCGGTATTTGGTACGCAAAATATAAAAATAAAAATTCAATCTATATTAATACTATAATAATAAATAAATTCCTCAATTTCGTACGCGTTTCGACGTACTTCAAGTCATTCTCAACGAATTAAACAAATTATTACGCTCGTGCAATCCTGGTGCCAATCATCCGCCTCACCGTAAAGATTCCTATTTGTTCCATCGTGGTTAAATGATCAGATAAAACAAGAGAACTCCACGAGATAGACTACAATAAAGAGTGCGGATAATCACTCACCAAATTGCAACAGACTTATACACTCACATCCTGTAGTCAACACAATGTGCATTACAACAAAATATAATAACTAATCAATCAAAGGAATGTTGTTCTTTTAACTATTCTGTTAGTAAAACATCTTTCAATTGCTTATATAAATTGCATAAATGATATTGAAGAAAATTTTGAAATTGCCCACTGTTTTCCAAAACTTCGACGTCTTTCTTGATCAATGCAATCGCCCGATTTAAATATCATAGAATCATTTGTGGTTTTGAAGGACAGAGGAAGAAAATTTCCTCCTCCAATATTTTTTAGTAATGAGATGTTCTTTTAAATATAAAAGAACGGTATAACATTACACTGTAGTAGTTATTACATTATTCAAGCATCAAATTCCTCTAACAAAGATAGAATCCGTACTAAAGATAAATGTAAATTGCCGTATAAAAAACAAAGGTGAACCTTTTATTATTAAAAAAAAAAAACAAGTAATATATATTTCCCAGGTGTTCATATTATTTTATCTATATTCCCAGTAGATATTAATTTTATATTAATTCATACGCGCGCGCTTTTGCAATGAATATTTTACTTCTATTTCTCGAGAATGTAAAAAAATCAGTAATAACATTTAAAAATAAAAATACACTTCTCTCTTCCGATTGGAGCGTTATGGCGAAATGTGCCGTTATCTCGTATTTCTTTACGTGATATAACAAATCGGTAATCTGTGCAGAAACTTAGCAGAAACTCGCGAACGAGAGAGTGGCGCGCACAAAAACATATTTTTCTTCACCATAATCTACTTCAGAGTACATAATCGACTACACGTTGTTCCTCTTGCTGAGGCGTTCCTTCAACTTTCACGGAGGAGATAATTTAGTCGCGAGAGATTATTCGCGACAATAAACATTATTGTGAAAAAAAGTACGGTAAAGCCTGGAATATAACGTGGCGTAAATTACCGGTTGTTGAACCAATAATCTTCATTATTTTATACGTATGGAAAATTTTTCTTAATCTGAACTCCCCCTCTCCCTCTCCCTCTCCCTCTCTCTCTCTCTCTCTCTCCCCCTTTTTTTCTTTCTATCAGTTCTTTCTCCTGCTGAAAAAAATTATCACAAAAAAGTAAAGAAAGAACATGGACATCCCTGAGTCTGAGACACCGACAAAATTGTGATAAAGCAGCGATATGAGGTATATTTACATCTATAGGTCTGATGCAGGTATACCGCATACGTCATTTCATCGATCGTATCTTTTATAGAGCGCGGCTAAACGAAAGTTTGCGTGTAACGCGCGTAGTTCCAAGCTAGGGTCGTGGAAACCTGCAGCTTACGCTGGGACGCAACTTCGTAATGGCTTTTAATATGTTCAACATGCGGGGAGGGGGGGGGAGGGGGGAGGAAGAGGCTGCTCTCCGGATTCTTCTGTCTGATTTTTACACGACGAATTTTTCCACCCGTAGGTAGGCTCGAACATTAAACCGGAGCCTCCTTTAAGTACAGACATACTAATTGCTTATTTGCGATCTCGAAAGAGTATTAAAGAGTATCATCTCACGCCTCTATCTCGCGCTCGTTATCTCGACAGAGTCGATGCATCGCGGCGATGCTGCGCGGCATCGAAGGCTACCAAGTCCGCGACCTCGTTCGCACGGTAATTGCACGCGCGCGGCGCGGTCGGGCCAAAAAAGAAAAATCGGAGGCGACGACTCGTGACGAGAAGCAATAACACCGGGATAATTGAAGCGCGGAGAAATCGTGCTAAAGGCGCGTTAGATAGTTGCAGGCGTCGCACGGTTTCGGGAAGTCCAATCTAACGATCGGAAAGTTTCTTCGGACAAAATGCTAATGCGCAAGACTAGAATAAAAGCATCGGCATTATGCCACGTGTTTATATCTAGGCGCGCCTAAAATCGCATCGAACCCATCTCTACCGTTCTCTCCTTTCAACAATATCTATTGCCGATACCGAAAGGAGTGCCGCTTACGGCACTTGAAGCGTTTCAGCATCGGAAAGCATTCGGATAGAATAAACGGCAAGTCCGTAGAAATAGAGTGAATACGTAGCACTTATGAGGATACGAAACATAATATTAATGTCGCTCCACTTTCCCGCCGGTAATTGTTTCTGCCTTTCGCGAAAAGCTCGACGGCACGGATGACAACGCGATTGCAGAAAACGAAACGTTTGCTCTTTTCGAGAGAGCAAGCTGCCTGTTTTTTTTTTTCCTTTTCGTCTCCCTCGTCGCTCCCTATCTCTTTTCACGGGATCAGCTCCGTC